TCTTCTTCTTCTTCTTCTTCTTCTTCTTCTTCTTCTTCTTCTTCTTCTTCTTCTTCTTCTTCTTCAAGTGATCCTCCACCCCACCTCCTCTTTTGTTGTGGTCGCTTGAAGAGATGATTGTGGATATTTAGTGGGGGTAAAGTTTTGACCTGGTCGAAAAAACTTTAAAAATCGGTCCCACGGTCAGCGCCAAAAATGATGGTGTAAATATAGCTGGGTGGGTCGACCGGATTTGACCTGGACACTCGACCCGTAATATAAAACACACCAAGAACACAAAGTATGACCTAGACCGGGTAAATCTCCTTAGTCCGAATTATATTTCTTACTCTCATGAAGAAGGAGAGCAAGATAATGGAAAAGGAAACATTGACGGACACATGGACGGATTGTCACCTAGGAGTCACTTTTTGAATATTTTAAGGTACCCCGGAGTATATTTTGAAAAATAATGGGACCTCCGAGTCTTTATCCCAAAATAGGGGGTACCTGGCAGCAATTTTTTGTCAAAAAAATGATTTCTAGAAACGTACCATAAAGAAGGTCATGGACGTGATATTTGATAACAAAAGACTAAATATACAAATTCTTGGTTACAAAAGACCAATTATACAAGAAATATTTACACTAAATAACATTAAAACTTAAGTCATTTCTCCAAATTACATTTAAACTATTTTATTATCCAAATAGTTCTTAATAATGTCCAGGAGGGAATAATGTCCAATGATGGCAAACATTTATTTGAATAATGACTAATCAATAATAATTAAAAGCGCTACATTGGAAAAAAAACACATATGATATTATTTAGGAAAAGTCATTATGTTTTAGTATTGATGGGTATATCCTTATACCCGACCCGGATAACCGAAAGGGACAGGTCAAAACATGACCGGTCACTTTTATCAAGTCACCAAATGATGTTAACTCTTCGATTGGGACGGGTCAAAAATTGACCGGTCACTTCCACTAAAAAAGTGACCGGTCACATTTTGGGCGATAGCCAATTCGCCACTTTATGTTGCGAAGGATATTCCAGAGGACCAAAGAGATGGGTTGAACTCAAGAAATGACCGGGTAACCTTTGAGGAAAGGTGACCGGTCAGGTTGCGCTACTTGAGAAGGGCAATCGACATCAGAGGCTAGAGGACACCCCGCCGCTCATCCGTCCATTGATTGGATTGAGAATATCCATGTTAGTCTTTGATTGAACAGTGCATGTCTTGCCTTGTAGTTGCTATATTCATTGATTGAATAGTAAATTGATTATGTACAGTGACCTTCCTCCGGGTTTCCCATTTTGTCCATGGATGAACAGAGGAAGGTCACAAATCCTCCTCTATAAATATGATGATATTGGATAGAGGAGGGGATCCACCTGCCATCCCATTGATGATACCAGGCATGGGGACGACCTTTGCCCCGATCACCACGGTAGGATCAGTTGGCATGATCCCAATCATGTCAACCCCTACTCCTGCGCCAACGACAACAATGTTCCCAGGCTCGATAACAACGCCTGGTGGAGCTTTCACACCATACCCGTCAGCTTGGGCTCAGTTTGCTGCTGACCCGGCAAATGCTCAGGCTCTACAGGGCTATCAACAGGTGATGGCCATGATGCAACAGGCAGGGGGCTTCATGCCATTTGCCTATCCTGGTATGACGCCGCCAATCATGCCACCTCCGATGTCGATCCCGTCGACATTTGTCCCTAGGATGGTCCCTATACGCCCGGTGAATCTGACGGGGACCATGAATGAAGCAGCACCCTCAAATGTCTATGAGGTCGATGAGGCGGAGAAAGAGGCGGCCCGCAGGAGGAAGGGTAAGGCTATAGCCAAACCCAGCAAGACCCGAGATTCGGCGTTCAAACGCCTAGGGGACAAAGAGGACGGGCTCCGCAAGTCTGCCAAGCTACGTCTTGGTCCTGAGATGGGCCGGACTAGCGCAATGGAAAGACTTGGAGGGAATCGTCCCGCCCAATCTCGTCGTTCTAGGGAATCTGAGACGATTCACCTAGACGAGGAGGAAGCTGAAAGCCAGCCCAGGGCATCGGCATATACCAGGCTCTCATATGATGAGGATGACCTGGACAAGATAGGAAGCGTAGCAAGAAAGCTACGTGCCCTGGAAGAAAAGGTGGACGAGAAGGCGGGAGCAAAGAAGCACACCCTGGCCAAATCACCCTTTTCGGCCAGGGTACATGCACAAAAATTGAGGCGGAAGGTCAAGCTGGACGTGGAGAAATTCACTGGAAAGGAGGATCCAAATATCCACCTTGACACCTTCCACAATGCAGCACAGATGGCCGGGTGCACTGATGCTGAGGAGTGCTTGCTCTTCTTCTCATCCTTGAGAGGGAGGCCTGTGGAATGGTTTAACGGCCTTCCCCATGGCAGGATTGGGTCCTTTGAGAAACTTGCCGAAGTTTTCCGCAAGAAGTACCAGGACAACTGCATTAAGAGGAAGAAGTTCACCTACCTTAACACGGTAGGGCAGAGGNCTACAATACGGCATGGGAGTATGCCGAGGCGGAAGTCCTGAACAAAAGCAAGCGGGAGCTGGAAGAAGGCTACACAAAGGTGAAATCTGACAAGCCGAAGAAGGATGACCAGACGGGAGGGTCCAAGCCAAAGGCCACATATGACGGGTCCATCCACCAAATAAGGGATGATAAGAAGGGAGAGCAACCCAAGAGACCATGGACGGAGAAGTGGTGCACATACCACCAATTCGATTCCCACAACACGGCGGACTGCCGAAATGTCAAGGCCGTGCTCAAGGAGATGGCCTTGAACGGAGAGCTGGGGGAAGGTTATGCATCGGGGAATAAAGATCCAAAAGCGAACACCTGGACCCGTCCTCAGGGAAAAGACCAGGGGAGGAAAAAATCTGGGAAGGATAACAACAAGCCGGATAAAGAATTCATCGAGATGATTGTCGGCGGCCCAGAAGGCGGGGACACTGCCTCCCAGCGGAAGAATTGGGCTAGGAGCTTGCATGTAGCGGTGGTTTCCCTGGAATCACAAGGGAAGCAGGCAAAGAGGGAACCTATCACTTTCACTGATAGGGATCTGCCTAGGACGGGGGGAGATCATAATGACCCTTTGGTTATTACAATGGATATCAATGGAGCTGATGTGGCCAGGGTTCTGGTTGACACAGGAAGCAGTGTCAATGTTCTATACTTAGATGCTTTCAAGAAATTGAAGCTGGACAGATCCATGTTGAGACCGTTGCAAACTCCATTGTCAGGCTTCACTGGAGCTAGCATAGAAGCGGAAGGTCAGATCACCTTACCAGTTACCTTGGGGTCGGGTAACAAAACAGTAACCAAGCAAATGAGATTTGTTGTGGTTGATATCAAGTGTGTACATAATGCCATTCTTGGTAGACCTGGAATCAACCAGGTCAGGGCCATCATTTCTATGGCACACTTGTGCATGAAATTCTACACTCCCAATGGGATCAGGGAGGAAAGGGGTGATCAAAAGAATGCCCGGTCCTACTACCTGGAAGCAGTCAAGAAAATGACCCGCCAATTCGAACAAATTGAATTGGTCTCCCAGCAAGTAGACAAGGGAGAGGAGAAGGCTAGAATCGAGCTGGATGCAAACACGGAGGAGATCTAGATTGATGCCTCCAATCCTGAGAGGAAGGTCAAGATTGGGGCTGATCTTCAGGAGGAGCTAAGGACTGAGGTTGTCCAGGTGCTGACCAGGTATAAATCTTTGTTTGCCTGGAGTGTTGCTGATATGCCCGGAATTGACCGGTCAGTCATTTGCCAGAGGGGTCTAGGCCTGTAAGACAGAAGAAGAGATTTTTGGCAAGTGATAGGAGAGATTTTGTAAAGAAGGAGGTTAAGGACCTACTTGAGGTAGGTCATATCAGGGAAGTAAACTACCCTGAATGGTTGGCCAATGTAGTCCTGGCTCCGAAGGGTGATACCTGGAGGATGTGCGTAGACTACACAGCCCTCAACAAGGCATGCCCAATGGATTCTTATCCTCTCCCCAGCCCGGACCAAATGGTTGACGAAACCGCCGGGTGTGAGCTGTTAAGTTTCATGGATGCCTTTAAAGGGTATCATCAGATCTTCATGGCGGAAGATGACGAGGAAAAGACGGCCTTCCTCACCCCGGATGGGACATACTGTTACAAGGTGATGGTCTTTGGGTTGAAAAACTCAGGGGCGACCTACCAGAGGATGGTCAACAAATTGTTCAGGCCTTTACTTGGACGGACCATGGAGGCCTATGTCGATGATATGCTGGTGAAGAGCAGGACAGCCAACACACACGCTCAAGACCTGGAAAAATGTTTTGAGATTATGGCTAGGCATAATCTTAGACTTAATCCAAAGAAGTGTGTTTTTGCCGTAAGGACGGGGAAGTTCTTGGGCTTCATGGTTACGAAGAGGGGGATTGAGCCAAATCCTGAGAAGATCAAGGCCATTGTTGAGATGCAACCCCCAACCTCGGTAAGGGATGTCCAGAGATTGACGGGGCGC